TCCCCCCCCCCCTCTTCCCCCCTTTCCCTCCCCAGATCCCCCCCTTCCCCTCCCTTCCCTCCCCAGACCTCCCATTCCCCCGTCCCCTCTTCCCCCCACCTTCCGATCGATCTCCTCCTGGGAGCGGCTCTCCAGGTTCCTCTGCACTTGGCTGGGGCTCTGCGTGGGTACCACGCTGAAATCCTCATCGTCGCCCTGCAGAGGATCAGGAAGGTGACGACACACGGGATGGAGGGGCGGTGACCCACCCCTCCCCCACCCCCTCACATCAGAACCGGGCCCACCAGTACCTGGGTGAGGCCGGAGCCTCTACTACGCTTCCTCTGGGACATCTCTGAGGAGAAGGCAGGACCAGCCCAGCTCAGGCAGCCATCAGCCGCTCCCCGTTCTCTCCCTCAGCCCCCAACCCCCGCTCGGTGCCTCCAGGAGCCGTTAAAACGGTCGCAAATCTCCGCGCACGGGAGACGCCGCCCCGCCATTACCCACCGCCCTCAGGCCGCTCCTCTCAGCGCGCATGCGCCAGCGCAGCACCGCCCCCTGATTGGCCCTTCCCCCCGTAGTCCCACCTCCTTCAACCGACCACGCCCCCACGAGGCACCTCCTCGGCTTGTGACTGGTCGAGCGGCCCCGCGGTCACGCCCCCAACTCCGCGTGCCGGCCGCGCGGCTTCGCGCCTGCGGCCCATCGAAAAAGAGCGGGAAAATCGCCCGCCCAAAATTACCTCAGGGAACAAAATGGCGGCCGGGAGCCGCCCCGCAGGGAGGGGAAAAATAAATACACTCAGCCTCAAGAAAGCGGGCAACGAAGCTCAAACAAACAGTCAGAAATGCAGAAAGGAAGCGAAAAAAGGGTGTGAAGGGAAATATTTCTGTGACAAGTGCGTGTGGTGATGGGGTCAATGGGAGTGGTTGTTTGCTGCTTGTAAAATGCATTCGAATTGCGTATTAGGAGAGGGCAAAGATGAAAAAGACCAAAAAAAGAAAAGTTTAGTTGTTGGGATAAAGATGAGATCTAAGTAGGATGGCAGCAATTCCCTCCTAAAAGCGGGATTTTGGGGGCCTTCATCCAAACCCCATTTGGAGATAACAGTTTGTGTGTGGGGAATAAAAAAAAAAAAAGAAATAAAAAAATACTTGGGAAGCTCAAATAGAGCCTGAATGCAAACCTTTTTCTGCTTAATAAAGCATTAAAGTGTTTTCAAGCACTTTAAAGCATTAAAGCGGCTGGCGGAGGCTTCCCAATTGCAGGACTGTGTTTATTCCCATCCAGGGATCTCTTAAGGTCAAAATTTCCCCTTTTTCCCTCTTTTTTACCCCAAATTCTCCCCCCT